CAATACAAGACAACAATTAAAAATGAATTACTTCAACACCAATTCATTCATTCAGCAATAAAAGGTTTTAAATGTGATTTTAATAATTGTAATAAAATTTATAAACAACGTGGACATTTATTTATTCATAAAAATAGCGTTCATTTAAATACGAGATTTATTTGTGAAGTCAATGAATGCCACAAAAGTTTTACAACAAAACAAAATTTATCTCGCCATAAAAACACTGTTCATTCATTCAGTGGTAAATCTAATCATAAAACTGATGATTATTTGTACTGTTTTTGGCCTAAATGTCAATACAAGACATTGAGAAAAGATGTTTTAATAAAACATCAATCAAGTCATTTGCAAATTAAACAATTTAAATGTGATTTTAGTAATTGTGGTAAAGTTTTCGCACAATTTGCAAGTCTTTATACACATAAAAATATCATTCATACAAATGCGAAATTTGTTTGTGATTTCAATGAATGTCACAAAAGTTTTAAATCAAAACAAATGTTATTTCGACACAAAAGTTATGTTCATTTGAATGAAAAGCCATTTAAATGTGATGAAGAAAATTGTGGCCAAAAATTTACTAGAAAAATAAATTTAATTTACCACAAAAGTTGTGTTCATTTGAATGAAAAGCCATTCAAATGTAATGAAAAAAATTGTGGCCAAAAATTTACAACAAAACAAAGTTTAATTCAACACAAAAACATACATTTNACATTTAGGAGAAAAACTATTTGTTAGTAAGTTTAATAATTGTAATAAAAGTTTGCGCACAAAATCTGAATTAACAATACACATGAAAAGGCATGTGAAAATAAAAAACCATAAATGTATTTATAATTGTAATCACGGTTTGTTACACTTGGTGATTTGAGAAAACATGTTTTGCGTAAACATAAATGCAGTTAAAAATAATTACTACTAGTTTACAGAATCCTTTACAAACCTAACCATTACAAGTATGGGCACAAGTGTTGACACATTCCCCATAAATGCTATCCTGATATTGGATTTGTTGGTCATCTTAACGGCGCTGACTATGAGTCTCATCTGATTGAACGCATCCACTGTTGAGCCACACATAAGACACTTTCAATGGTCACCCGTTGGGGAATATTTTGATTATTAATATAAATAATTAAATATGGATTTTTAAAATGCTAACAAATTATGTAACATTAAATCAATTAACTAATTCAAAATATTTATAATCTAAACTTTAGATCATAAAATTATATTCATATCAGCATATTGTATTGTAAAGATGTACTTTAGATGTACTTATTATACTTAAAATTAAAACAATTATAAAACAATTCATTAAGTACTTCATTTCAAGTGGAGATTAATTATAGACTCAACAAAAACCATAATTAAAGATAGCAAATCAAGTTATGGATATACCTGGTTATGGTTATCATAACAATAATCGCTCATAAATACACATAACTAACTTACTTTTAGTATTGTATTTTTAATAAAAACAAAATACAATAGAAAAGCTATACTCGTATAAGTTATATATAAAAAAAATATAAACCGAAAAAAGTTATTTTTATTAACATATTGATATTTGATTATTTATTAATTGTTTGTAACTGTGTATACATTAATATAATTAGTTATATAAAATAAGATTAGTTACCTAATAAACGTTCTCTAATTGGTTTCAGATGTATTAAACGCGCTTTGATTATTCGTTAATTTTGTTTTCCACTCGGTTTCATTGGTGCTAAACCGACTTGAGGCCCGTCACTTTATTGAACAGCACAGACGTATTGAGCACTTGGAGGCACTAATTGCTAGTCAATCAATGATAAGCGCTAATAATGACGACGATTATCATAGCGATGAGGTAAGAATTATGAGTTTACTATATTTTATCTGCATGTTATGTTAATATTATGCACAGGTAAATTATTATTGTAAATAATTTATAATAATTTAGTTATTATATAATAATTAATATGTAATTAGTAAGTTGAACAAATTGCAAATTATTAATTTTAAAATAACTTGCACATTGCATCTAGAGCTCAATCAAACGTGTGTTAAATGGGGCTAAGCATTCAAATGACATACAAGTGCTGGACTCGTGCGACTACAATGACCCTCACTTTGAGCGCCAGGTGTCCGAACTGGATATTCTAATCAATGGATTATTTGCAAGAGATTAACCAAAGTCTACATAATTTGCGCGAAACTAATAAGCAATTAAAACAAAAGGTGAGCCAAAGTAACCACGATTTGGCTGAACTCCGGGCAGTGAACATTGAACAGCACAGACGTATTGAGCACTTGGAGGCACTAATTGCTAGTCAATCAATGATAAGCGCTAATAATGACGACGATTATCATAGCAATGAGGTAAGAATTATGAGTTTACTGTATTTTATCTACATGTTATGTTAATATTATGCACAGGTAAATTATTATTGTAAATAATTTATAATAATTTAGTTATTATATAATAATTAATATGTAATTAGTAAGTTGAACAAATTGCAAATTATTAATTTTAAAATAACTTGCACATTGCATCTAGAGCTCAATCAAACGTGTGTTAAATGGGGCTAAGCATTCAAATGACATACAAGTGCTGGACTCGTGCGACTACAATGACCCTCACTTTGAGCGCCAGGTGTCCGAACTGGCCCTACAGGCGGTGCGCATACAGTTCGCCGACTATACAGAAATGGCTGACTATTTAAAGCAAGAGATTCGGTCCAAAACTGGGACAGAGTGTCTGGTCGGGTGCGGACAGTGGGCAGCATTTGGCCACAAGACCTGGTTATATAAGAATGGCAAATATATTGCTTACAGAATTAGCGAGTTAGTCATTATTGTCTACCAAGTTCGTGTAAGTGATATAACATGTTAGCACATTGTTGTAATTTATAAAATCTCTGTTTCTCTCTCTCTCTCTCTCTCTCTCTCTCTCACACACACACACACACACACACACACACACACACACACACACACTTCAGTTTATTAAGTATTTTAAACTGTAATGAATAATTTCAAATTTTTTAAATTAATATAAATTGCAAAGTTGATATATTTATGGTATGAGCAGTTGATCCAATTTTTTAAAATCATCAGTATTAAGAATACTATTTTAATATACTATTTACTGTCTATTCTGGATATTGCACGTAACAATTAATTAATTGATATAATTCAAAATAGGTTAAATTCAGCGATGTTCTTCGAAGTGCCAAAAATAACCCTACGGTAGAAATACAGCACAAATCCGAGCAAATAGACCTGTTATTCGAGGAGCGGGTAATTGATTTGGCCAAAGAGATTGTGCACCATGGTCAATTTAAAACCAGTACAGGTGTGGCCGATTTTATGCGTGAAGAATTATGTAATCGTTATGATAAATTATATGGCAATCATTGGCTGGTGTCGGTGGGTGTGGGCCATCACTTTGACCATTCATATGGCACCCGTAGTGGTAAACACAGCAAGTTTATCGACTTTCTGATCAATGAATTACGGATTACAGTGTTTCAAGTGTGATTGTGATCTAGGTGGTTATTATTTAAAAGTTTAATTAATTTTTTCTTTGTTTGCCCAAACTGTAATTATTATTTTTAAATAAATAATTTGATAACATTATTTTTAGGCTTGTATTTGTTTGGTATAGATAGCGATGATTTTTAAACGCTTTAATAATTATGACAATATAATTATTATATTTTAATTATACTAAAACATCTTAAGAATTTACAAACATTCTCTCTCTCTCACACACACACACACACATACACACACTTTAGTTTATTAAGTATTTTAAACTGTAATGAATAATTTCAAATTTTTAAAATTAATATAAATTGCAAAGTTGATATATTTATGGTATGAGCAGCTGATCCAATTTTTTTAAAATCACCAGTATTAAGAATACTATTTTAATATACTATTTACTGTCTATTCTGGATATTGCACGTAACAATTAATTAATTGATATAATTCAAAATAGGTTAAATTCAGCGATGTTCTTCGAAGTGCCAAAAATA